GGAGTGCAGTGGCACAATCTCAGCTCACTGCAACCTCTACTTCCCAAGTTCAAGCAATTCTCATGTGTCAGCCTCCCAGGCAGCTGGGATTATGGGCACACACCACTGTGCTGGCCTAACTTTTTTGTCTTTTAGTAGAGACAGAGTTTTACTGTGTTGCCCAAGTTGGTCTCAAACACCTGAGCTCAGGCAATCTGCCTGCCTTGGTCTCCCAAAGTGCTGAGATTACAGGTGTGATCCACCGTGCCTAGCCTATTTCTTGTATTTTTAGTAGACTCAGGGTTTTACCATAGTAGCCAGGCTGGTCTGGAACTCCTGGCCTCAGGTGATCCACCCACCCTGGCCTCCCAAAGTGCTGGGATTACAGACATGAGCCACTGCACCAGGACTGATTTATAATTCTTTTTGCTTATCCTCATTCAGGTTTTTGAATCTGGAATATCTATACTTACAGCCATAAATTAGTCTTTCTTAAGAGCTTGAATAAAATACCACAGATTATAATTTTCATTAATTTTAATAGAGGTCTTACTGTAATTAGGCACTATTTTAAGTAAACAAAGTTTTCACTGGCTGCACGAAGCTGCTGTGATGACATTCTGTATCTATCAGTTACACTTTCATTTGTAGTTAGTTTGGCATACATTCTTAAAGTTCTGCATTTTTAACACACTTACTCTCTCATAAGGTTGTGGACTCCTGTAAAAGAATATACTCCAAAGACTTTATTAAAAAACAAAAATATATTATGAATGAATAAATGTACACAAAAACATGAAATAAAAAGAATTTAATATAATGTTCTACTTTGAAACCATTTATATTTTTTCAGAGTTGCAAAAAGTTACCATGATTAATTTTTTTTCATTTGAGGTGTGTGCACAAAATCACATGGAATGCATCTGGCTGATGGCTTTGGATAAGGAATGTTGCAGAAACAAGTTAAGTATAACATGAAGCATCATATTGTCCAGCTTATTGTTCAACTTAGGTAGTGTAAATTTCATGAAGATTTAGTTTGTATTCTTTATGAGAAAAATAAGTATTGGTTTTTCTCAATGCTAACTGAAAATCTTTCAAGCAAAACATTTTATTATGAAACAGTTTATTGAATATAATGCAATAATAATGTGCAAAATGCTCTGAAAAACATATGGAAAGAACCAGAAGTTTGTTGAAACTGCTTGTCTACAAAAGGGTAAGAAACTAGAATATATAACATCTAATTGTGTGTATGTTACATAGAATGAGTACACAATATGTTATTCATTGCCTTTTTTGACTATAATTATTTTTCTTTTTTTTTTTTTTTAAGATGGAGTCTTGCTGTCATCCAGACTGGAGTGCAGTGGCACGATCTCTGCTCACTGCAATGTACGCCACCCGGGTTCAAGCGATTGTCCTGCCTCAGCCTCTTGAGTAGCTGGGATTACAGGCATCTGCCACCATGCCCAGCTAATTTTTGTATTTTCAGTGGAGATGGGGTTTCAGTATGTTGGCCAGGCTGGTTTCGAACTCCTGACCTCGGGTGATCCGCCTGCCTCAGCCTCCCAAAGTGCTGGGATTACAGGCATGAGCTACTGTGCTCAGCCAACTATGGCTATTTTTAAAAGTGTACATAAAGTGTACATTTCATATTGTACACTTTATGTGAGAGGCATTTGTGGAATTATTTGCTGAAATGTTTGTTTACTTAATATTATATATTTGACACTTCCATTGATTGAAGAAACATTTATTAGTCACTTACTTTGGACAACTTATTGCTTTAGTACAGTTTCTAAACCTTGGCACTATTGACAGCTGGGGGTGGATGTTTTGTTTTAGGAGTTATCCTGTGCTTTTTAAGATGTTTAGCAGCATCCCTAGCCTCTACCCACTGGATGGGTGGTAGCAGCCCCAGGTTGTGACAACAAAAAGTGAAAAATGATGGATGTGGAAGGGTGGGAAGAGGTAAGGGTTTGGGAGGGAAAGGAAGAAGACAACATGCCTCTTTTCAGTAATTTAAGGCAGTGAATAATAGAGCCTTTAAGTGATACAAAAGGAGATTCTAGGGCGGGTGCGGTGGCTCATGCCTGTAATTCCATCACTTTGGGAGGCCAAGGCCGGTGAATCACGAGATCAAGAGATCGAGACTATCCTGGTCAACATGGAAAAAAAAAAAATACAAAAATTTAGCTGGGCATGGTGGTGCGTGCCTGTAATCCCAGCTACTCAGCAGGCTGAGACAGGAGAATTGCCTGAACCCAGGAGGCAGAGGTTGCAGTGAGCCAAGATCGCACCATTGCACTCCAGCCTGGGTAACAAGAGCGAAACTTCGTCTCAAAAAAAAAGAAGATTCTAAGAATTTCAAGGGAATTATTCTCCAGCTCCATGAAATGGTAATCAAAGTGGAATGGGTTTTGCCTCAAAACGAGTGGCACCTGAGGCACTTGTGTAATAGAGTAGACTATAAACTGGAAAAGTTTTTGAAGGAATTACACCATCTTAGAATAAAAGGAATTGGGATAGTTAAAAGTAATAAGAGGACTCTAGGTCCCCAATTTTCTATAAGAAAGAAGCAGCCTGAAACACGAAAATATGAATCGTTTCTTAAGAAACAGGATTACTGAGAGTTCAGTGAGCCAAGAGGGAAAATCCAAGACCTTCAAAGAGTAGCAGATCTACATCTATGGAGTAGAATAGAACACTGCTTTATTTGATAAAGAAAATGTAAAGATAAATGTACATCTTATATAAATTCGGTCAAATGGAATAAATATAGGAGCATATAAGACCTGAGAGGGAATTCTAGTGATGTCATCTCACATGAGAGAAATCCACTCACATTTAATTTTTCTGCAAATTTATAAAATAGAACTAGAGTATACAAATGAAGAATATACTTTATAACTCTATGCATGTCTGTTACTTGACTCAGAGGCCTAGTAAGACACATATACACCATGGAATACTATGCAGTCATAAAAAAACAAGAGTTGATCCTTTGCAGGGACATGGATGAACCTGGAAACCATCATTCTTAGCAAACTGATACAAGAACAGAAAATCAAACACCACATGCTCTCACTCATAGGTGGGTGTTGAACAATGAGAACACATGGACACAGGGAGGGGAACATCACACACTGAGGTCTGTTGCAGGGAACTAGCGGAGGGACAGTGAGGGGTAGTGAGTTTGGGAAGGTTAACATGGGGAGAAATGCCAGATATAGGTGATGGGGATGGAGGCAGCAAACCACATTGCCAATCCTGCATGTTCTTCACATATACCCCAGAACCTAAAGTGCAATAAAATATATATATTAAAAAAATCCCAAAGAATATACTTTATAACTCTATACATGTCTGTTACTTGATTCAGAGGACTAGTATCTCTGGTATCAGAAAATTGGCCAACTATTTATAGGAAATGTTTTGTGAGACAACTAAATTGTTGTTCTCAGATTCCAGTTTTTACTAACCTTCTTCAATGAAAACAGATCTACAGAATAAGAAAGCAGCAAGTCAGTGTGAGAGATTGTGTTAAAAGTGGTTTCTTGATTTGTAAGGTATGTTTTCTATAAGTAAGGATGGGCGAAACCAGCAAATAGTCTGGTGGCCATTCATTTGTGAATAATAGTTTGTAAGTTTCCTAAAGCCAGAATATTTGAAAATGGTCTACTGTGATATTGTAGAATCATCCTGTTTTGTGCATTTCAAACTATTGAGATGATGGTCAAGAGAACATTTGGATTGAGCTTGAAACTGAATTAAGCATACCAATTTGTACCTTCATTTATGAAATTCCTATACATATATATGTATATATTTTACTTTCATAAGATTTACTTCATTTTAAAAAGTCACTACAGATTACTATTGTCATTAAAAAAATAATAATAGAAACAATTTTGTAGTCCTTAACTCAACAACCTAGAAGTGGACAAATTACTTGGAAAACCCGAATTGCCAAAATTTAGCTGATGAATCAGACAATCCAAATAGCTATAAAGCATTGATCAAAGTTATAACTTAAAAACTTCTAAAAAAGTTATCTCCAGGACAAAATAGCGTCACTGGACAACTCCACCATAAATTCAAAGAACTAACATTGATTCTACCTAATCTTCAGAATACAGACAAGAAGGGCACAACCCTCATCTCATGCCAGGAGGCCAGCACTAACCTGACACCAAATGAGGCAAAGATTACATAAAAACAAAACAAAGTCCCAAAATAAAATCCCCCAAAAGCAAACACACAAAAATCTGCCCAAATAACCAACATATTAAAAAATGTTATACAAATGACCAAGTGGGCTCCATTCTTATGGATATTTAGGCCCCTGCTGTGCTCATTCATTAATATACTCTATTGATCATTGCCATGTCTAGATAAATCTTCCTAATTTCAAGAAAGATTTTATTAAAGAAAAAAAAGCTTGTTGTTATTTAAAGCCACTAAGTTTGGGGTAGTTTGTTATGAAGCCATAACTAAGTGAAACAGGCACTGATTGTGGGAGTAGTTTCTGATATAAAAATACAAAATATTTGGCATTTGCTTTGAGGCCATCAATAGGTAAAGGTGGAGAGAGTAATAATGGTTCACTCAGGCACCATTGATAGAAGTGCGGGCAATGGGAGCCTGTGTCATATAATGACAGAAAAATTGGCAAATCTGTCACCTACAGTAACTTGGCAGATAGAAAATGCCTCAGTGAACTATTGGATCTTGCTAATAAGATTTTCAGGCAGAATATTTAAAGTACCAATTGGCTTATTTTAGATGTAAATGATCAGACATTGCAAAAGAGAGGTCAATTAAAGAAGGAAGTGTTCTGTTTCTTAGCAGAATTTAGAGAAAATAAAGTGAGTACAGGATAATTTCATCAGCCAGAAAAGCATTCTAAAAGTAAGAAATGAGCTTTGGGTCAAGATCAAATCAAGGGTATGTTACAGAGTAATTTTAGGCAGTGGATAATAGAACTTTTAAGTTATACAAAAGAAGATTCTAAGAATTTTAAGGGAATGATTCTCCAGTTCCATGACGTGGTAATCAAAGTGGAAAGGGATTTGCCTCTAAAAGAGTTATGCAAGGACTTGTGTAATAGGGTAGACTATAAACTGGAAAAGTTTTTAAAAGAATTATACCTTCTTAGAATAAAATGGATTGCAATAGTTCAAAGTAATAATAGGACTCTAGGCCCAATTTCCATAAGAAAGAAGCAACCTGAAACCACACAAATATGAACCATTACTTAGAAAACAGGAAGGATGACTGAGAGTTCAGGGAACCCAGAGGGAAAATCCAAGAACCCCAAAGAATCACAGATTAAGGAACTATGTCTATGGGGTAGAACCAGGCTCTAACTGAGGAACTCTTCCTGGTCCCAAGAAGCCGAGGATGGCAGTGGATTGGTAACTATTATGGGTTATCTTCCCCACACCCCTGATCATTTCGAAGAATAGTAGTATCTATCGCAATTATGCTGTTCTTGTCTTACCATTTTATTTTGTGTTGTGAGATCAGGTAATTTTTCTGTTTAGTGTACAGGTCACTGGATTAACAAGTATATTTAAGGGGCTGCACCTGGACACTACATTCAGTGGGCCTCATCTGCATCTGGAACTGGATTTAGAGAATGAGGTCCAGAACTCTGAGCCTAAAACAGATACTGTCATTGACTGAAATTTTACAGACCTGAAAGGAAGTTGAGTATATTTTGTATTGGGAACTGAGTACTAACTGGAATAGATAATTAGAATCCCCTACAATGAATTATGCTTGTCCATACCCATGGGCAATGTAATGTTAAAACACTCCACTCATTAAAACATGGGGTCTATTATCACCCTCTTTAATCTGAACTGGAATTGGGATGTCCTTTTGTCAATAGAATGTGATGGCAATTACATGAAGTGAGTTTCAGATCTCAATCGCTGAGAGGCTTTGCTTTCTTTCTCACTCTTTGGAAGTCGTCAGATAACCAGGAAGCAAAGAAATACAGCCAAGCCTCCTGGTGGATGAGAAGTCACATGAAGTAAAACTGAGACACCCATGCAGAGAGCAAGCACCAAGACTTCAGATATGAGAGTGGGGACATCTTGAACCTTCTATCACTGCCCATGTACCAGATGACTGAGGCAAGTTACATGAATGAATAAGCTTCAGTGGGACAAGCAGAAGCAATGAGTAAATTGATAACATTTTGAGAATAACATTGGTGTTTTAAACCAGTAAGTCTGGGAGAGTTTTCTATGTAGTGATAGATGACTAGAATATATTTGAACCTGATAAATTGAGAATAAGTATTGTAATCTAAAGGCAGCCATTAAAGGACACTAAGAATATGTAACTACCAACCAGGGTGGATGAGCTCAGAGCACCAAACATGTAGTACACCCAAGAGTTTTTTAAATGAATATTTATGTACATTTAATTTTGAAGGTTCCTGGCATTATTGGCTTGTTGTAACAAAATATCTTTTTAGCATGTAATTGTGTTTGTTTTACCACTGTGTGGACTAATTCCAAATTCTAAAAAGAGTTTGTCAGAAAATGTAGAAAAATTACAAAGTTTGCACAATTATCCACTAACCTTAGTTTTTCAGGGACATCTTTCATTTCATTAATAACAGGCCATGGATCTTTGGGTTCTTTTTTTTTTGAAAAGTTTACTTTGTATTATTTATAAATAGTAGATGAACATAAATGAGATAATAAAATTTGAAATGTCAGAATATAGAAGGAAAATGTGAGAGTTGGCTATTCAACTTAGTGTACCATTCTTACATATTAGTGGATGATGAGGAAAAATAGAGAAGTTTAGAAATAGTTTATTATCAAACATTGTTACAGTAAAAGCAATGACAACCTCATTTAAACATATAATTGACTATTAGTCTGCTTCGTATTGCTATAACAGAACACCTGACACTGGGTAACTTATAAAGAAGAGAAGTTTATTTAGCTCATGGTTCTGCAGGCAGAGAAATATGAGACACATGACACCCGCATCTGCTCTGCTTCTTGTGAGGGCCTTGTGTAGGTCACAGTATGGCAAAAGAAGTCAAAGGGAAAGTGGCCATGTGGATGCAAAGACAGGCAAAACCCAAGGTGCTTCCTGGCTTTGTAAAAACTCACTCGGGCAGAAACAAATCCACTTTCTCTGAGAACTAATCCAGTCTTGACAGTGTGAGAACTCAGTATTGTAAGAACAGGACTAAGCCATTTATGAGAAATATGGCTTCATAACCCAAATTCCTCCTACTAGGCCCCAACTCTCAACACTACCACCCTAGAAATCAAACTTCAACATGAGTTTTGCTGGGGACAAATAAACCATAGCCAAACCAGAGGCAAAATGAAGAAGGAAAACATCATTTAAATGTAAGATTAGTGATCACCACTTCCTCTACAACCAATTTACATTGATTGCCTAAATTTTCATCTCATGGTTTAAGGGAAGGGTTGGGAATAAGCATGTTAGTAAGCCTTTTTTTACTAGTGCTTTCATGAGCATGAAATTTTTTTTTTTTTATGTTGGTTTTTGTTTTGTCCTTTGATAGACTTTGAGAAGCCCATAAGACTTTAGAATTCTTTGAATTTGATAATTCCAGGGATTTGAGAAAGAATCTTTAATTTTTGAAGAACGTAATTACAGAAGAAAATTTAAATTTGACAGCTAAAGGCATGATAGTAAAGACCTCTGACTTTAGTGTAGACTTTTTTTTAACATATAAATATTAATATGTGCCATGTTTATATAAACCAAATGTTCTCCATATTCTTTTTCTTTGATTTGCTTACAAAAAGATTGAAATAAAAGACTAAAAACTTTGACAATTACTCAGAATTCTTTGTTATAAAAAAATCTAAAAAAAAAGAGAATAAATTATTGGTTTCAAAATGTGTACACTAGGTAAATTGGAAAATGTGTGCAACTACATATGAAAATTATGCAACATTTTAACATAAATTTGAGAAGAATATTTATCTTTTTGTGTTTAGATGTAATACAAGATTGGCACCATTAATACATTAAAAATTGGAGGCCTGGGGTGGTGGCTCACATCTGTAATCCCAGCACTTTGGGAGGCAAAGGTGAGCAGATCACCTGAAGTCAGGAGTTCAAGACCAACCTGACCAACATGGTGAAATCCTGGGTCTACTAAAAATACAAAATCATCTGAGCATGCCTAAAATCCCAGCTACTTGGGAGGCTGAGGCAGGAGAATTGCTTGAACCCAGGAGGCAGAGGTTGCAGTGAGCTGAGATTGCATCATTGCACTCCAGCCGGGCAACAGGAGTGAAACATCATCTCAGAAAAAAAAAAAAAGGAAATATTTACAGTAACAGATTTTCAAATAGTTGATTTCTTCAAATTTCAGAAAATAATAGAATCTTGGAATTGGAAGCATAGTTTAAGTCAGAGGTCCACAACCCCAAGTCCAGGGACCAGTACTGGCCCACGGCCTGTTAGGAACCAGGTGAGTGGCAGGTGAGCTAGTGGAGCTTCAGCTGTATTTGCAGCTGCTCCCCATCACTCACATTGCCACCTTAGCTCCACCTCCTGTCAGATCAGCCATGGCATTAGATTCTCATAGAAGTGTGAACTGTGCATGTGAGGGACCTAGGCTGTGCACTCCTCATGAGAATCTAATGCCTAATTATCAATCACAGTTTCCCATTACCCCGCGCCTGCCGCTGGGACTGTCTAGTTGCAGAAAAATAAGCTCAGATATCCCACTGATTCTACATTATGGTGAGTTCTGTAATACTTTAATTACATATTACAATGTAATAATAATATAAATAAAGTGCACAATAAATGTGATATGCTTGAATCATTCCAAAACATTCCATCCCCCTAACCCTGGTCCATGGAAAAATAGTCCTCCACAAAACCCTGGGGCCCAAAATACAAGTAATCCCTGGTTTAAATAGTCTCTTCCAATCCATGTAATTAAAAAAGTATGCAACATGTGTCTTATATGGCGAGATTATGTGATTCATCTAAAATTACCAAATAATTCATTAGTGTCTACCAAATATGTAGTTTCAAATTCAGAAATGGCTAGAGGCAGAAACAATGTATTAGAAGCTCATCAAAAAACACATAGAACAAACTCTCATGTGACAGATTTCCGAATAGCTATGATGTTTGTTAAGGTAATTCTTCGGGGAACTTCAAATACTGAATTTAAAGTTAGTCAAACATCTCATTCAAAAAACAATATAAATATGAATACTTGACTTTGAAGAATAGGATACAGAAGAGAAATTCACTTTTGCCTGCAATTCTTAATAGTAGAATGATGCATAGTCCATTCATAAAGAATATTTCATTTATCAATTTATGTGCCTTGATGTTATTCTTTCAGCAGATAGGACTCATTGCCAAGATAATTCTAAAATAGAAATCATTATAAACGTATTAATTAATTACCCTTGGAATCAAAGAGCTTCATTATCCCTAATTTAGTTTCATTTCACCTAAGTTTCCAATTGTTTTACAGACAAATTGAAAATTGAAACTTAGAGAACTGGATTTCCAGCTCTTTATTACTTTCAATTCAAAGAACACTGCTTGGGATGTTTTGTTTAAATGGCAAATCTTGAATTGATTTCAATAAATAAATTCATTCATTATGAGAGCTTATTCTGGTTCTCATCTCCTTTTTATTAGTTTGATGTCATTCTTTTTCTTATCTATTTTGAGAGTCTATAGGAGTTATTCAATTTAGTATATAGAATTAATCCACATTTTCTCTATTAAACATCCCCACGCAAACTTTCATGTTTTACCTACCAGGCTTGCTGCTTGTATTTTCTTTTTGAAGGCAATTCTTATTTTTACTTCTGTAATAACAAAGAAAAAAATATTCCTTTCTGTTATTTGCCGTTATTTGAAATGTATTTATGCAATTTCATTAACAAGCATTTACTGAGCAACCAGTCTTAACACAGGTATAAATATGAACCATATGTTTTTATGTGCTTTATTTATTCAGGTTTGCAGGATTTCAGAGGTCAACTAAAAAATATAGAAGAATGAAATAAAAGGATGCAGACATATGTCATAATACCTAGAACTGTATTTGGCTGGTCTTTGGCTGGAACTGAGGAATCATTTTTAACCATGCTTTCTTGCTTACTTCAGCCTTGTTTCTTGATACCTCCAAGGATTAAATTTATCTGCTCAGAGGCCTTCTCTGTGGATTCTGTAACAGCATTCACCTCCATCATTCTCTCTCCTTTTTTCTGATTTGTGTTTCCTCAGAGTATGGATCAGTACTTGACATTATATATTATACATTTATTTCTTCTTCCTTTCTACAATGTTAGACTTACAAAGTAGAAAATGTCCCTGCTGTGTTTATTTCTGTATCACCACTGACTAAAAAATACTTTTTTTTTGCGACATGGTCCCACTCTGTCACGCTTGCTGGAGTACAGTGGCACAGTCATGGCTCACTGCAACCTCCACCTTCCTAGACTCAGGAGATCCTCCCTCCTCTACCTCCAAAGTAGCTGGGACTACAGGCACATACCATCACAACTGGCTAATATTTTTGTATTTTTTTAGAGACTGGATTTTGCCATGTTGTCCATGCTGATCTTAAACTACTGGGCTTAGGCAATCCACTTGTTTTGGCCTCCCAAATTTCTGAGATTACAGGCATAAGTCAGTGTGCCTGGCCAAAACAATGATAAATTGTTATTAATTAAACAAAGATAGGATTCTGTTTTATATCCCAGTCAATAGGTCAAGACAAATCTTACATTTAAGATAAAGAAAATAAAGAATTAGACAAACAATGGGGCAAGCTAAGAAGAACAAGGATGTAGAGGACATACACTTTTAAAAGCCTTTTGCACAAAAAAGTTGTTCTAACTAAATATTTTCTGTATCTTCAATCCTAAAACTATAGAGTCATCAGTAACATGGAACTATCTTAAGAAAGTTACGATTTGGAAATTCACAAGTAATGTAGGTTCATAACTGCTTTTCCACAATTGCAAAGTTCAAAAGGTATGCAAACCAGGAGTCTGTGGTTATTTGTTTATGTGACACCAAAACTCATTTGGAGAACCTAGCATGAACACTCATAATTTTTACTTCAGAAATTAATGTGT